GCTTTACAGCCCTCTCTAAGTGATCAGCATATTGCCCCCAACAATTTGGGTCCTCATTTTACTGCCCTTGAAAGATGGAAGGCTAAGTCAACCTTGAGCATGGTGAAATTTGAACTGCCAAATTGCAGGCAGCAGAAGTAGCCTGCAATACTGCAGTCTAACCATTGTGCCACCGTGGTTCCTATTAGCAGTATAAAATCTAGGATTCTGCAGTAATCCAGATACAAATGGAAACACTGTTGCACAACAGTGGAAAAACAGAGATATGTAAATGAATAAATATCACAATGGGCAGGAATAAATAAATTGACAATTAAAATCAAGAAGGCTTTGAATACTTTTTTACGTGGGATTGGTTTTAGNCTGAAAGCATTCTTTGTTTACAGCATTTTTTCACACCTGCCTAAAACTTTTACACAGTACTATGCAAATCTTCACCTAGTCATAAAGTTCACTGAATGACCTTGGGCCAATGATCATCTCTCAATCAGATTTCTTATGCATCTTTAAACATATCTCTGATGTTTCAGAAACTGCACCTTTATAAAACCACTAGGGTATTATTCAATGTCATCCTAGCAGTATCTTCTACAGAATAACTCATCCTTTTCTTAATTTAGCATAGAACACTGGCCTTTTCTTTGCAATAATATATTCAATATAAACTGAGAAGTCTCAGTGGGAAGCAATCTGGTTTTAGTGGTTAGGAGTCAACAGACAGAACTGTGATTCAGAGAGCAATGTTCCTATGCTTGGCTGTGACATATTCTGCAACCTCGCATAACACAGTTCTGCTTTTTGTACTTTTCATCTGTTTGGCTTTGAGCAATATTCCTCCATATGCAATCATTTATAAAAGATTGCAATACAATTTTACTATTACTATTTTTGTCAGGCACAATTAACAAGTGCACTTCAAAATGTTGGTACGGTGGAGAGTTGTTTTAATGTAGGCATAATATATTAGTCACTTTGTATAGTCATTTCACACACACACACACACACACACACACACTTGATGTGAGCAATTTTTCAGTTATGAATTGTCAGTTTTGATTTTTAGTGTTTGGAATCCATAGAAAAGTCATGATAATGTTGACTCTTTGCTGATACAAGTTAGAGCAAGCAAATCATTTACCACTATATGCAGAACATGGGTTTGCAATAACTGATTGCTTGGCCTTTTGTTCTCATCTATTACAGCAATGTCTAGATTTTTTTTCTTGCTCATTAGTTCATTAGCTTCATGGAGATCCGAATAACCCTAGTCAACAGAATTATGTAACTGATGAGATGTAATAAGTATCACAATTTTGCATTGTTTTGTTAAGTTGTAAAGCTGAGTGACAGTGACTCCAGGATCTTACACATGCCAATCCCAACCACCAGGTAATGAATGCCATTTATCTGACTTTTTCTATCTCAATAGTCAGTTCCGTTTGGTTGAAATATCTGGCAATGCAAAATAAAGGAAAATATTTTTCAATAAAATGAAGGGATCCTTTTTTGAAGCTATTACAAACTTTTTAAAATAGTAGCTCTACCGTCAATATTATTTCCTGTTCAATATAAACTAAATTATAGCAGTGTTTTTCAACCACTGTGCCGCGGCACACTAGTGTGCCGTGACATAGTGTAAGGTGTGCCATGGGAAAATTA